CCAGGACATCCAACACTAGATGGTATGCTCTGCTAGCCAAGATAGGAGAAGACGGAACAGTGCCCAGTACTGACTGGGATTTCTGCTGATCTATAATGTTGGTACGGCCAAGGGACTAGTGCTGAAGGAATTCCTATTGGCCCAGAGGGTGGCTAGTCCCTGGGCATCTGGTCCCAGAAGGTGTTCCTGTCGGCACAGCACCAACAGTCCTGGTACTAGTTTCTGTTCATTCAAAAGCCAGCTGGGATCCTGTAATGAGTTCCTCCTGCTGACATCTAGCATCAGGGTACATGGTCTTGGAAGGAATGTCCAGCCTGTGGTGGCTGGAAGCAGTGTCTGTCAGTCACTACACATCCTGCTGGCCTAAGGAGGTAAAGCACACATGCCTTCAAACATGAGGGTGGTGGAGCCAAGTGTCCCATATGTGAGGAGATGCCTCCAACCTCAGGCAGAGGTGGTGGGAAGTGACCAGTCACTGGGTGGCTAAGGGTGGGGCTAGTCACCTTTCTGGTTACCAGGAAAGTGTGGTTTCCAGTTACAGTTGGGAGTTGTAATATGATCCTTAGCAAGCAGCACTGATTATTAGGTTGCGGTCTTGAAGCAGGCTGCTTGCAAATCTCAAACACTGGGTCAGGCCAGCTGATAGCTCATTGGTCCATCCATTTGTCTCACTCTTTGCATTTTTGTTTAGTTCCTTCTCCTAGTCAGTGTTTGATTCACGTCTCTGTCCTTTCCTTTGAATCACAAGGTCCCAGGATGATCATCTGTGTGTGTTTTCTCTGTACTCTTGGGTCTTAGAGAGTCCACCTCACCTATCATCTTCAATTTAAAATGCTTGCTACATGATCTGAAATTGCTTCCCAGCATTTTCCTAATCACTATCAGACTGTACATAATTTTAAAAATAAGCCAAGATTTTACTGTGTTTGAAAGGAAATGTAAAGCTGTATTTTAAATTGATCTAATTTCACGTTGGTTTCGTATTTGTATCAGGTTTAAGTGAAAGACTGAGGGATTTGATTTCATTGAAGAGTGTTTTGTATTCCTTAGTCCCATGTTCTGATTCTGTTTTTCTCAAAGTGTGCTCTCCCTTGTATCTGCGTCTCCACTAAAAACGGGGATTTTCTCCTTCTAGTGTGACTGTGGGAATGACCCCAGTCATTCATTTTCTCCAGATGTTCTTCGTGTTGTTGTTGTTAGGTGCCATCGAGTTGGTACCGACCCATAGTGACCCTATAAACAGCAGAACGAAATGCTGCCCGACCGTAGGCCAACCTCATTACTGTTGCCATACTTGAGTCCATCGATGCTGCTCATTGATATTCTTGTTCTTAGCGCCCCATTTATTTCATGTGTGTCTGTGGTCTTATTCATTACCTAGTGTCTCAGCTGCCCTGCCATTTGCAGTGTAATTCTACAACCTTTAATGATAGTGTTATTTACTTATAGCAGCAGTAAAGTATAAAATACAGGTCATTTTTATGCATTTTCTGTCTTCTCAACATCACTGCTATCATCCACAATGAACAAACCTTTCTGGGACTTCATTTAGCTTTTTGTTTTATGTACATTGTTATTGTTGTTATTGCTAAGTGCTGTCAAGTCGATTCCAACCCACAGCTACCCTGTGTAAGTTTTCCAAGGAGTGACTGGTAACCTTGAACTGCAGACCTTGTGGTTTATACCCATTCAGCTCATTAACCACAGCACCATACCAGGACTGCAATTTGTGTTCACATGTCCCTGAAATTATGTTGTTGTCACTAGACTTCTTTCTCCTTACGTACTTCTACTTTGGACATATTAAACCTGTTGTGGCGCTGTGGGCTAAAGCATCAGACTGCAAAGCCATTTAAACTGCAAGGTCGGTGGTTAGCTCACCAGCTGCTCCTTGGAAACCCTATACAGGGTCATTATGGGTTGGAATGGACTCTACAGGACTTAACAACAACAATATGTTAATAGCTTCCATTAACATATTCTGATATGCTTGCCCATTTGAGATATACTCTGTCACCATGAGCTGGAATTGACTTGTTACTGTTTTCATTCTTAAGTACCCTCAAGTCAGTTAAATTACATATGTAGATTTTAGGGTTATTTATGGATTCTGATATAATATTATATAGCTTAAGATCTCTAAAGACTTTTTAAAAGAGAAAGTATTACCTCACCTGGGTATTTTATTGTTATTGTTGGCCATTGCAGCATTTGCAGTAACCCTGCAATTAAATCTGAATATATGTTTTCTTTGATTTGTGAAAAATTCTTTCTTGTATCCCTTGTCTTTCCCTATTAGTTGGGGAAGTTTTACTTTTATGGGCGACTAAGGTTAATTCCTGCTACTCATCTGTCAGTTTGTATTTTCAATAACCTCATATGCATGTGTAAGCTGAACAGTGAATAAGGAAGACCGTAGAAGAATTGATGCTTTTGAGTTATGGTGATGGAGGAGAATATTGAAAGTGCCATAGGTTGCCAAAAGAACCAACAGATCCATTTTAGAAGAAGTACAGCCAGAGTGTTCCTTGGAGACCAAAATGGCCAAACTTCGTCTCTTATACTTCAGACATATTGTCAGGAGGGACCAGTCACTGGAGAAGGATATCATGCTTGGTAAGGTGGAGGGTCAGAGAAAACGAGGAAGACCCCCAGCAAGATGGATTGGCCAAGTGGCAGCATCAATGGACTCAAGCATGGCAACAGTAGTGAGGTTGGCCTAGGATCAGGCAGTGTTTCGTTCTGCTGTGCATAAGGTAGCTATGGGTTGGTACCGACTTGATGGCACCTAACAATTACAACAAGGTTAATTCATTTTTGCCTCCCTTTTCCTTTCCCTTTATTCCAAGAGTCTCTATTTGTGTTGCACATTTTCTGACGTTGTTTATTCCAGTCTTAATGTGTGGTCCTCTATATGCTAACATTGTACTTGCTGAGCTGGGATAAATGGAGCCGTTGGTCATTGCTGTTGTTGTGAAGAACTGTGGAATCAGAAATGACTCATAGTGACCCTGTGTAGAGCTTCTGAGGCTGCAAATCTCTGCAGCAGCACAAAGCCTCATCTTTCTCCCACAGAGTGGCTGGTGGACTCAAACCGCCAACCTTGTGGTTCACCCACCATAGGAACTTACCTGAGAGGACATAACACATGCCAGAATTGTTATAAGACAAGGTGTTTTCAGACCTTGCAGGAAAGGCTGAGCTTCAGGGGAGGAAAGATTGGGGGGCTAAGCAGGAAGACTGGTGTGAAGAATCAGCAGTGGTAGGGATTAGGTAGCATATGGAAGAGTAGAGGGAAGGAATTCGTTCCAAATCACAGAGGGCAGAGTTTGGACTCTGCTCTCTCGTGATTTTGAATAAAAAAGTGACATAAAGAGGTTACTCTTTGGGCTGGTGGGTATGAATTATGTGTAAAGCAGACACAAATCCAAACAACACAACTACGTTCCTGCCATGTGCCAAAAGCTATGGTCACTCAGTATGCGGCTACAGGTTAATGTGCTGTTCGGTGGTTCAAACTCATCAGCTACTCCTTGGAAACCCAATACAGGGTCCCCACGGGTCATGACTGACCCAACAGCACTTAACAATAACAACATGGGATTTATATCCCAGTGAGGGAGAGAAAATGCACACTCATGGTGGTTATGGTGGTGACTGTATATGTAACACAAATGTCATGGCATTTGAACCGCAACATTGGTGGTTGAAGATCACCACCTGCTCCTCGGCAATGCTATACAGGGTCATTTTGGGTCAAAACCGAC